ATTCAACCATTAAAAATATTTACTGAGTATCCACTATGTGCCAGGAATTTTGGATTCAATTATGAACAACATAGATTTGATCTCTGATCTCACTACACTCATATTCAATCCAAAGAGACAGATGACAAAACAATGAAATAAACAAAAAAGTAAACAAGATAAAGTACATAAGTGTGAGTTGCGATAAGTGTTATAAAAAGAATGAATATGGGGCCAGAACAGAGAGTAATATGGCAGGGACAGTCTTTGGGTGGGGTGGTTAGGAAAACCCACAGGGAGGGATTATTCCAACTGCAATCCAAAGGATGAGGAAGAGCTCACTGAGTGAAGGGTGGGAGAGACCTAGGGAGCAACTTGTCCAGGTGCCCTGACATAGAAAGGGTGTTGCATGTCCAAGAACGGATAGAGAATCATTAAGGCTGGCCCTACTGAGCAGGAAAGAATGGCCTGGATATGGTTTTGGAAACAGACCACTTAGGTCATGCAGGTAGTAGTAAGAAATATGGAAACTTTTGAATGTTTTAAGCTGAGAAGCGACATACTCTAAGTTACATTTCAGAAAGATCCCTCTTACTACTCTGCAGAGTATGTATTACAGAAGGACAGTGGAGAAGGCAGGGGCTCCTAAAAAGGCTCTAGAGAACTTAGACATAGAAACCATAAGGTTTTTGGCCAAAAAGCCCTTATGCATTCTAAGGTAGATGTAATTATTAAATATTTAACATTTATTATGACTACTATAACATACTTAGATTGGTCTAGGCCAGAATATGATAAAGGTAAACTATGACAAACTACATGTATATTCGATGGTATAGTTTTTCTTTCTTCCCATGGTATGAATTTTCCTCATTGGAAATAGTTATAATTGGATTGATAATTTATATTATTCAACTAGGTATGAATATACAAAACAAAACAGAATCTTGACCCAGAAGTTCTACCTCAGGATTAAAACAGAAAGTTCAAGCTATGTAAATCAAATGCTTAGTTTAAGAGGTCTTTGTTGATCATAACAATGGGAAATAATAAGAAGCAGAATACATAACATGATTACTGATAGTGATAGTAATGGTAAGGATAAGAATGAAGGGTTATGATTGTTGAGAAAAGCTAGATACAATCAATTACTGAATGTGTGCAATGCTGGTCACATTATTTAGTTAGGTAGACAGAACCCTTTACAAACTCTTCATGGAAATTGCTTTGAGTACAAGTAAACCTTTAACCACTAAAATCTTTTTTAAACTCATTAAGATGATATTTTATAGCAGGATTTTTTTAATCAACAGTTTCCTTAGTAATATAAATGTTTAATAAGAATTAAAGTGTGTATTGGCTCTTTTGTAGAATTTCAGGATTATTATCACAGAATGTTTAAATTTTTTACTGGATCTAGAAAGCAGCCTGATTGTGAATGTTTTCCAGTGGGAAAATATCACCAACTGTATGATAATATCTTTTATAAAAACTTGCATCAAAAGGTAGTTTCTAGAAGGCATAGTGATGACAACTGAAGACCATTTGTCCTCCCATGCACTTTACAAAATTATTTCAATTTAACCTAGCCTTCACTTTGGATACAGACCTGCCACACCCCATCCACAGCCCAGAGTTTAACCACACTGGTGCATCCTTGTCAATTCAGAGACCATTCTTCTACTCCTTTCTTCACAAAATCCAACCAGCTATATCCTCTACCTCTATTCCCCATAAAATAGTGCCATGTGTCAAGGTATTTAAAAGGATGAAGCATGCATTTCTTTTTTCTTCTCCATCATGTAAAATCTTATAGGGAAATGGAATGGGTTTACATTTTAGACAAAATTAGGGTTTATCACAAGTAGTAATTCATGGAAGTATTTCTCTTCTCTTTTCAGTTTATGGTCAAATGATTCTTTTTGGCAATCATCACGAGAAAATAATTATACTGTACCTCACCCAGGGGCAAATGTGATTATACCTGAAGGTAAATACATAAACACAAATGAATAGAATGCTTGCTTTTATGTAATATTAACACTATGGCAGGATAGATGTTACAGTAGTTAGGTTTCCACTTTAATGCAGCACACCTTGGGGAAAGAGCAAATGTGGAGAAGTAGACTCTATTAATGCATTCCAGATACTAAACCTGGCCTTCTGGGGTTTCTGTGGATTTAAACCTGACTATTAACAAGAGCAGATTTTCTGGAAGAGATTGGAATCAGGTATTATATGAAAAGACAGGTCATAAACTTACTCAAAACCAGGACTGATAAGCTTGTCAATGTTTTGCTATAGGCTATAATCTATGCATTATGTTATATTTCTTAAAGTATTGTTTTATAGGAATATGGATTGTAGCTGACATAGATATGCCATCAATGGAAAGACTCATTATTTGGGGGGTTCTAGAACTGGAAGATAAATATAACGTAGGAGCTGCAGAATCTTCTTACAGAGAAGTTGTTTTGAATGCTACCTACATATCACTGCAGGTAAGAGTGAGGGCCCTATAGTTTATATCTTTATTAATCAAATTCTAAAATGTATATTTACTCAAATAATTAGAAGGAATTGGTGTGAATAAAAAAACACAGCTGCCTCTCTATCCCATTAAATGACAGTCTCAAGTAAGTCCAACATATTTCTGATCTCCTTTAAATTATGGACTAAACATTTCTTAGGAATAGTTATCATGGGACTCTTGAGTTTCAATTCTGTATAGAATATCTGTGTCATTATGAGGTCAGCCTAACCCAACGGCTTGTTCCAACAAAGAGTCCTAGGAATGCTGGAAAAATTAAAAGAATGGGCCGGGCGCGGTGGCTCAAGCCTGTAATCCCAGCACTTTGGGAGGCCGAGGTGGGTGGATCACGAGGTCAAGAGATCGAGACCATCCTGGTCAACATGGTGAAACCCCGTCTCTACTAAAATACAAAAATTAGCTGGGCATGGTGGCGCGTGCCTGTAATCCCAGCTACTCAGGAGGCTGAGGCAGGAGAATTGCCTGAACCCAGGAGCCGGAAGTTGCGGTGAGCAGAGATGGTGCCACTGCACTCCAGCCTGGGTAACAAAAGCGAAACTCCGTCTCAAAAAAAAAAAAAAAAAAGAAACTAAGCCTTTTGTTTTTTAAAGAAAACAAACAGTATTAAAAAAAATAAATGGACATAGATGGAATTATAATAGCAAGAGAAGATGAATAAAAATGTCGCTGTTGTTCGGAACAATCCTCACATTCTCTTTTAAACCCCAAATGGTCTTGAACCTGTAACAGCTTAATCAGCTCAATTGTTTTGTTAGTCTTATAATATTGTTCATGAAAAAGAATAGCTTAGCCAAAAGGCTATTAAGCACCATTAAAAGAATAAGTAATTAGAAGCTTTTCTTTGAGGAAAGAACTAAAGTCCAGAAACTTGATTATTCATATTTTAAAAGTGCATCATATTTTGATTAGAGGTATGGTTTAAGGTAAATTAAAATTACAAATTTACCTCATTGTTTTTTAATTGGGTAGCCATGAGTAAGCATTTGACCTCTTTCACCATTAGTTTTCTTACCTGTGAAATAAGGATAATAATACTAATTCATGAATTTAGTGTAAAGAAAGGTTAAGTGCTATACTGTATCTGAGGCCTTACACATTATGCCTGATATGGAAACAACAAGCATTTAGTAATGGCTATTAGCATTAACAATGATGGCTCATAAATGTCATAGCTTGGATGTAAGTGTGAAGAGCATATAGGATATTACATTCAAATACAGTATGGTCTGTTCAAACACCACTAGTTTAGGTCTTATGAAATCTCAGTTTTAGGTCTAGTTCTGTCAGTAAGTAGATATTGAATTTGACCTTGGAAAAATCATTTAAACTGCCTATCCAAAAGTAAAATTAAAGTCATTTCCAGTTATAATGCTGTCCTTATATAATAAAACTCATTCCTTTTTACTAGGGGAGTCTTCCAGTGACTTCTTAATTCCTTTTTTATGGGTGGAATTTTTGTCCTGGTTAATTTTTAAGTATTAACAATTTTCTGCTTCATTTCAGGGAGGTAGACTAATTGGTGGCTGGGAAGATAACCCTTTTAAAGGAGACTTAAAGATTGTTCTTAGAGGAAATCATACTACCCGAGACTGGGCTCTTCCAGAAGGACCAAATCAAGGGTCAAAGATGTTAGGTGTGTGTCTCCAGATAACAAAAGTGTCCCATCTGTTTTGAGAATCTACTTTAAAATATATGGCACTAAAGTATCTATCAGTTCATAATGGAAAGTACTTTATCATAATGATAAGTGCTTCTGATGCAAAAGTATCAGAAGCTTTTACAGAAATTTATTTATATTGAAGGGTTACAGAAGTAGCAGAGATTTTTAGAATTAAATCACATTGAACCAGATAAAAACAGACATACATATATCTATTTTAAACCAAAATGTAATTTATTATAAAACTAACTTTAACAAATCTCTTTGTATGTATATTATTTTTTCAATCTGGTTTTCTTCATACAGTTTTCTTTAAGCAATACTTTTCACATTTTAGTACTTTTCCCTAAAAGGCAACTTTCTTAAACATTATTCCATTTATGTTACTAATAAATCATCTGTGGATCAGTTGACAATTACCCAATCACAGCTACTGCTGAGATTTAATTTCCCAGTTGCATTGGTGTACTATGCATATTCTTATTTGAGCCCAGAAAGCAAATGACTTTAAAGAGTTTAACCTGGTCACAATTAAGAAATGCTTTTATGCATGCTATTGCATATTTATTTAGGAGACACATGTAAGTATGTTCTACCATTGTTTTACTGTACAGTTTCTAAAACTGATACCAACTAAATAAGGATCTAAAAAAAATTCTTGAGATTGAATTAGCTCACCATTCACAAATGTCCTGAGGCAGACAAATTCAAGCTTAAAAAACATTATATGTTTTTATTTCAAAAGTAACACTTTAAACAACATAGAACAATAAAAGAGAACCTATTTGTAAAGAATATACATCTGTCCACTTCTATCTCCCTTAAGGACACTAGCATTAGTTTAAAAGTTTTTTGTGTCTTCCTATGTTTTTTTATCTATGCCCATATTCATATTATACATACTGATTTCTGGTGATAGTATTGTTCCTTTCATAAAACATGGTCAAACTAAGCATATTATTATGTGATTTTCTTTTCTCAGTGAACATATTATGAAAATATTTCCTGATCAAAAGTTACAGATAAATCTGTAGCCTATTACTCTACAGTATTAGTATATTATAGCCTATTACTCTACAGTGTTAGTTTATTAAACTTTTTTATAGCCTATTACTCTACAGTATTAGCATATTAAACTTTATTCCATCCTTTTCTTATTGATGTACATTTGGATTAATTCCAGTTTCCTAGTGTTTCTAAATATTGCTGTGGTAAGCATCTTCATTCATGTACCCTTGTATGCCGGCTTTAATTATGAACCAGATTTCCAGAAGTGGGTTAAAGAGTCAAAGTCTTCTTATATGGTTCCAAGCAGAGAACAGCAATTTTTCTAAAATGTTTAATCACATAATAAAATATGTCAATGAACATTTTCATTTTATACTAGCACCCAGCTCAGACTGTGTAGTGAATAGGAGTGTGCTTTTCTTTTTTAGGGGTGTTTGGTGAGCTGGATCTTCATGGAATTCCACGTTCAATATATAAAACTAAGCTCTCAGAAACTGCAGATGCAGGTTCCAAAATCCTGTCTCTGATGGATGCTGTGGATTGGCAGGTAAAGAAAATAATTATTTGATTAAAAAAATGAATATACACAGTGGGTCAGCTGAAAAAAGTTTCTGTTTTATTCCTACGGGCATTCATGTGATTAACCAGATGAAAAATGTGTATTTTGTAATAAGCTTCCAAAAACTGACTGGATAGGAGACATGTAAAAATTGTGGCTTCAATTGTCCTTCAGAATAAATGGAGAATATTGTGTGTGTGTGTGCATATATACATATGTATATTTTATGTATATGTTTTATAACTAATATGTATATATATTTTATGACATATATGACTTTAGTCACACAATACATGACATATATTATGTATATACAAACTAATATATCTATAAGTCACAAACATGTATATAAATAATGTATATTAGTCATATTTTATACCAATGTATATTAGTCATAAAAATATGAACATTTTTGGATAAAATTATTATAAATTCTTGCAAAACAGAAAATGGAATTTAAAATATGTTTTATTATCTTGATTACGTCTTCACTTCTAATTTATGATTTTACAAATTGATTTGAAAAGAAAACAAATTCTGACACACAGTGATATCCAAATACTGCCTGTACTAAATGGGATTTTTAAATAGAGTATAAATGGTAGCAATTCTCATCTCCACTGTACTCATAGACGATATGCAAGCCACAGAGTCCATATGTTTTACAAATACTTTTTGTAATGCCAAAAAATTAGAAAAATGGATGGATTTCTTCCCCAAGATCCTAGATCTCAGCTTGTTCCTTTCTGGTGAGAATGACCTTTAGAATCACAGAACAAAGAGAGCCTTAGTTTGGGCAAATCAAAGCAAATCATCAAAACATATGGGTTTGCTCTCTTACTGTAGTTTATAATTGGTAAATAGAAAGAGAGTTTATTGAGAAGTATTCTGATCTGTTTACAATATGTCTTTATTTGTGATAGTTCTGGTGTGATTACTTTTTAAAGAGAATAATTAAATGATTTCAATATCCCTATGATTTATCCAATTAATATTTTCTGCAAATTTTGTACCTGAGTAATATTGTGTCACACACTTTTCTAGGCATTTGGGATTTAGTGGTGAAGAAATTTGTCTAAGCTATCATGAAACTTGCAGTAGAGTGGGAGATGCAGATACTAAATGAACAAATAAATATCTATCAATTTCAGATAATGTTCCTAATGAAGTAAATAAAACAGGTGGTGTGATAGAGACTGCCATGGTAAAGGGTAGCAGATAACATTTAATATTCCAGAGAAGATATTTGTCAAGGGTAGATCTGAACAGAGATTTAGGTGACAAGGAGGAGCTCAATATACAAAGTTCTAGGACTTAGCCTTGTCCTTTAACTTTCCTCAGGCTTTTCTGCCTTTCAGGAATAACAAGTGATAGTTAATTGTGCTAAACAAACAAACAAACAAAAAAGCTAGGGAAAAAATTTCAACTCTTAATAATATTGTCCTGATCACTTTTTAATAAAAATGTGAGTATGTTTGCTTTGAATGTCTTTACTTTTTCAAAAAAGATATATTGTTGTGATTACTAAATGACCAAATTAAAGTTAAGAAAATGCTGAGATAATTCAAAATTTAGAATTCTTAATATCAAACACAAGTATATGTTTTGTTTTGTTTTTGGCATGCAGTCTCACTCTGTCACCCAGGCTGGAGTACAGTGGTGAGATCTCAGCTCATTGCAACCTCTGCCTCCCAGGTTCAAGCGATTCTCCTGCCTCAGCCTCCTGAGTAGCTGGGACTACAGGTGCAGGCCACCACATCAGGCTGAGTTTTGTATTTTTAGTAGAGATGAGGTTTCACCATGTTGGTCAGGATGGTCTCAATCTCCAGACCTCGTGATATACCCGCCTCAGTCTCCCAAAGTGCTGGCATTACAAGCGTGAGCTACAGCGCCCGGCAAGCATATGTATTTTTAGAGACTTCAATGTACTGTTTATTCTTTCTGATAATACCATAATTTCCATGAGACATAAATTAAATTTAAATTATTTAATCATGATATCAAGAAATATAAACCTATTTTTAAAATTGTTCTTACATTTGGCACTTGAATTTTTCTAAGGAGGGAGAAGAGGTTGTGATAACAACCACAAGCTATGATTTCCACCAGACAGAAACAAGAAGTATCGTTAAAATCCTCCATGATCGTAAAATTCTCATTCTTAATGATAGCCTTTCCTATACTCACTTTGGTAAGTGGCTGCTTTTTAACCAAATAGATATATAACTGTCTTGAAAATTCACATTTACTCTGTAATTATAATTCTTTGATAAAACATCTCACAAATATTTTAAGGGAGCATTTTATTCAGATTGGCAGTGATACCCAATGAACGCTACTCTTTCTGCGTTGGCTACTGATAGGTCCCACTATGTGCTTTCATTCATTCAGCAAATATTCAACGAAGACCTACTGTATGACATTTTATAGGGTAAGGCTCAACATTTTCTGTTTAAAGTAAGCTTCTAGGTGATTCTTGTATACACTGAAATTTGAGAATCCTTGATCCAAAAGCCTGTTGTACTAATCTGTTTCATGGATATATTCTTATAGCTGTAAATGCATTTAGACAAGCAATAATAAGAGGATAAAACTATAATTGTTGAGGAAAGAAGGAATAAGCATGATCTCAAAATGAGTTTTCCACTTACAGGAGCAAGGCCTTCCCAGCACTCCAGGCTTTTCCCATTTGGCATGGTACCTTCATCCAAATCTCAGGAAGTGGGAGCAGACAGTAGTGTAAAGTTAGAAAATCCTTTCACAGGCTTTTGGTGCTCACAGGAACTCCAGCTGCAAGACAGCATGATAGACTAGCAGATGTTTGACCTGCAGGAGAAAGAAACTGAAAAGAACTTCTCAAAGTAGTACTTTGATAGAAGTGCATGTGTGTCTATAATTCTATATCATATATTTTTCTTTAAATCATAAAAATAAGTTTTATTTGACAAATGTTTCATTGTAATTAGTTGCAAAACAGGTGGTTTTTGAATTTTGACATTATAGATTCTTTCATTTAAAATAGCAAACATTTTTCTCTGTTTGAAATGCACCTGCTTGTCTTAAAGTTTTGAATAACATTTCTTAAAATGTAGCATTAAATCTAGGTTATGTTTTACAAATTGTTAACATGTAAATGTACAGATGGTGTTGGATATGCTGCCACCTATTGATGAAGACTTGCTGTTGATACAAAAATATGCCACAGGAAAAGTGGAATAAACCAAGGTTTCGGTGGTAGGATTGTTAATAGCTATGTGTTGTTGATTCTCCTCCCAGGTTTGGGCAATTTTTTACTCATCTACCTCATTTCCTCATTTATTAATATTATAATTCACTTCTCAATTTGCCATACACCAGGGTTTTCATATATAATTTGAAGTGATTGTATACTGCCTTCAAGATTTGTTAAGTGGTAACTTTATACTTGCTAATTATAATCATTCTGGTGTAAATAGAGAAAATATTTTTGCTTATATTTTATTTTATAAATATGAGTATCATAATATCACATCCCACCTATATATGTTTAAACATGTAAATCTAATAATTCATGCATTTATGTTGATTTTGGCTTATTAGAAAGTTGTTTAGCATATGAACTGCAAAGGAATTAGTAAAGACAGATGTTTCTCAGCATTGGCAATAATCTAGTTATCTTTATACTTCAGCTGAGAAATACCATGTCCCTGGAACTGGTGAGAGCTACACATTAGCAGCTGATGTTGGGATACTGAGTAGGAACATCAAAATAGTTAGTGAAGATTACCCAGGTTGGTCCCAGGACTCTTTTGGAGCACATGTCCTGGTTGGATCATTCACTGAAAATATGATGACATTTAAAGGTTGGTATATATTCAGTTTATTTTTATAAATGAGTATAACATGGTCTCATTTATGTTTAGTCAGCTCTTACATAATTTTCACTTTTTGATAAGATTATGTGGGAAAATAAAGCATTAAAATTGATTATGTAGCCCAGGTGTTACCTTCCAAGTAAATTCTCTTAAATTACTGCTGTTAATTTTATCTTCACAGTGAAAATGAATTATCAAATTAACAATAACCTTAGGCAACAGCTAGACCAGTCTTTCACCTAACAGAGATAATTTTATAATAAGTACCACAGATCATGTGTTGGTTTTTGTTTTGTTTTAAGGAAAATTCCAAGCATACACCAAAAATAGAGAAAACAATATAATGAATCCCAATGTACTAATCACCAGCTTCAGTGATTATCAGCTTTGGCCAAACTTGTTTTATCTAGACCTCCATCCACTTTCTTCATGCTCCTGGATTGTACTGAAGCAAGCACATATTAAATCATCTAGAAATATTTTAGTATGCAACTCTAAGACATTTTAGAAAACATCAACAAAGACCTAAAAATGTTAATTTCTTAATTATAATTTATTATCTTCAAATGACAGTTCAAATTTCTCCAGTATCTTTGTTCACTCTCTCCCGGTTCAAATAAGGATCTAAATAAGATCTGCATTGCTGCTGATTATGAATCTTAAATCTCTGATTCATTCCTCTTTCCTTGCATTTTATGTGCAAAAGAAGTTGGTCCTCTAATTCTGTGGAGTTTCCAACAATCTGGAATTTAGTGATTGTCTTCCTGAAATTTAACTTATTCCTGTCTCCCTGTATTTCTTATGCATAGGTGATTTAAAACTAGAGACTTCATCAGACTCAGGCTCAATTTTTAAGTAAGAATTACGCCAGACAGGGTGTCTCATGCCTGTAATCCCAGCACTTTGGGAGGCTAAGGTGGGAGAACTGCTTGAGGCCAGGAGTTTGAAATCAGCCTGGGCAATATAGTGAAATCCAGTCCCTACTAAATAAATAAATAAATAAATAAATAAATAAAACAAATATTTTTCTATACTGATAGAAAAATACACTACCAACTGTAAATGTATGATTGTTTCTCTCTTATGATGTTAGCAGCTACTAATTAACATTGCTTAGATTCATTAAATAATTAAGGTTTAAAATCTCCTCCTCATTTATAATAAAGAAAATCTCCCCTAAACAACCATTTAACTGCCCTGAAAGATAGTTCATATAGGATATACAGGAAAAAATGCTTTATTTTTCCCCATATTGATTAGGTTTCAAAATAATGTGTCAGTTCCCAATCATCCTCCAAACGTGACAGGGAGTTTGTATTGTTTCGTTGTTAGTATCATTATGTGCTCGTGGATCAAACTATTTGACATGCTCAAATCCACTGGGATTGTTAATCTGATTAATACTCAGAATGCTCCATTATTGACCTTCAGAATCTTTTCATGCTGATGCCTGTCCTTTTGATATGACTGAGTTTTCTAAGCCGATTTACTTTCTGATATGGAAACATATATTGTAATTTTTTCTAAGACTAGAACTCAGTTGCTCCTCCTAGTAATTCTGGTTCTTTTTATTGGAAGATGTTATTCGGATCCCAAAATCTGGGTACTAGGGGTAGAACATCCATTCTTGATTTGAGCTGTTTCTGCAGGTACTCACTTGTTCAAAATATTGACTATTTCACTTTGCAACAGATCTATTTTAGAAAATCTTTATATAGAACAAACAGCAATCTCACTATGGTCCCTACTTGTTGATCATAATCTGCCAGGGGAAGCTTACCTGATGATAACAGTGCTGCTGCTGATGATAATGATGGTGATGGTAAAGATGATCATGATACAAGATCACAGGCACTGTGCTAAGCATTAAATACGTACTATCTCATTTAATCCTCATAATGTTATGGCATAAATATTATCCCTTTTTTACAGATGAAAAAACAGATGATTAAAGAGTGAAGTTGCTTTGATCTTGAATACTAATTTGTGTCTTTCTCACTTCAAATTTGGTGATAAACCCTATTCCTATGACAAACTTTTCTTGCTCCTATACATTGTTTTGTGATGTGAGTAAAGACAACACATCTATGGCTTTTGTTAGCCCAGATGGTTTGTAGTAATCATGTCTTCTTTATCATCATCTTATTATTCATACCTTCTCAACAATGTATGTAAGAATTGGCTCATGGATTTCAAGGTAGGCTTTTTCCTCCTAGTACAAAATAACTTTTATCCAACATATCCTGTTAAGTTCAGTTTTTGAACAAAGAATATTCTCTTTTGTTATTTCTCAGCCATGAATTCCTGTGCCTCAGTTTTTTTAAAAAAAAATCTAGATGACAGAGATATAAAAGTTCCTAACTCACAGGGTGCTTTATGAAAATTAAAACCCAATTGTCTGTTATGCATTTAGTACAGCACTTGATACAGAGCAATCTCTCATGGATTGTTATTGCTATTATTCCTAGTCTATAAAATTATTCTTTGTCACTTTGATGGGACTTATGATAAGCTGATCAGCAGATAATTGGCAATACATATTCTGAAAAAGATTATAAAAGATAATGCCCTTAAAAGCTCTTTATGGCATCAAAATGAAAATATCAGGTAAATTATATCTATCCCTTATATGATGCATTCTCAATGGGAAAATATCACCTCCCCCCACCCCCAGAGGAAAGACCTAGTGCTTCGTTTGGGGGCAAAAAATATTACAATGGTTTGTGGTCCTCCAATAAGCCACTGTATACTAACAGATATATGGTATATGTATATATATATGTTAGTAAAATTTTGGGGGGTGGAGTGGAGGCTCTTAGGAAAAAAATGTTGAAAAAGGCTATTTGTGGGTACAATGAAAAGAGGTCTGAGAAATATGACCTCTTCTAGTTCAAAGGAGCAAAGAAACTAATGGGTGTTCCATGAAAAATTTGATCAACTTTGTGTAGCCATTCAAAAATGTTTTATTCTAACTGTTTTAAGAAAAACAAATTTTAAATCTTTCCCTACCTTAGGAAATGCAAGAATAAGTAATGTGGAATTTTATCACAGCGGTCAAGAAGGCTTCAGGGATAGCACAGATCCAAGATATGCTGTAACATTTCTTAACCTAGGACAGGTTTGTGCTTTATTTTTAATTTTGTGTATATTTAAAATATGCAAAATATTTTTATTTTCATTTGACTTATAAATAGCCACATCTTATATTAGCTAAAATGATAATCTAACATAATAAAACTTTCTTGGCCCATTAACATTTTAGACCATTTTTAGACCAAACAGCATTTGATTCTACCCATACTGTGTATTTATTTAAGGTCAGTAAAAACCATAGGAAAAGTAGTATGGAGGGTGAAAGAATTAAAGATCTATATTAGTGGTTTATATCTCCACTTTATTTTACAATGACCAAAAACATTTTTCCAAATGGTTTCTATTAAACAAAGGGAATATTGCTTAAATTTCTCAAATGAAATGCATGTCTGTGTATCTATGCCTCTGTCAAAAGTGGGAAAATAAACATAGTCTTCAAAAATAATCTGTAATAGAGGACGATTGTACTGATTGTATTCAATAGACAAGCAAGAGAGAAACAGAAATAGAAGTGATCATGTATCTTGGGTACATTATTTTTTCCTCCAACTTTTTATAACCTTATTTTTTTAAAAGTAGAGACTTGTTTAGATTAAAAAGCTAATATATGTGCATAGTAAACAACAAATACCAACTGTATTTCAAAATCCATGTTTCTGTATATTATATCTTATAAGGTCCATGTGATGTTCTGTTGTGTTGATGCACAATGTCTCTTGTAACCATTTTCCTACTACAAATGGACTTTTTCAAAAAAAAAAAAGTGGGAAAATAAATATTACAAGAGGGCTAGTGATTTAAGAAAAATGAGAGACAGCATATTTCTTAGTAGAAATAAAAAATTATCTTGTAGGTTTATATTGAAACCCCTAACCTATTCAATGACTGGTTCCTGTAGGCATTTGAATTGTTACCCCTTATCTAAAGTATTATTTTTTGTAATTAAAAAAACCCTACTCATCATAAACTATTCTGAAAAAATAATTTTTAGCACCTTAGCATTTTATAAATGAAAATAGAAATATAAATGTATAGAAAAGCGTTTAAGAATTTTGAAATCTGCATTTAATGTAATCATATATTTAATCTAATAATTCATATATATGGAAATTTCCATATTTTATATATGGATAAAAACTTATGAAGAAATCATCTTTAAGAGAAAGTGAATTGAGTATTAATTATTGGCCAAAGTTTGTTTATTGAAAATTGTTTACTTCATTTTTTTCTTTAAATATATTGTAATTTTATTTTAAAAATGTTCACTGTATCCCAATGTTTTATAGATTCAAGAACATGGCTCATCTTATATTCAAGGCTGTGCTTTTCACCATGGCTTCTCTCCAGCAATTGGTGTATTTGGGACAGATGGATTGGACATAGATGACAACATCATTCACTTTACAGTGGGAGAAGGTAATATAATAACAAATAAATAATATTTTGGCCCAAAGTATTAACTGTATACTCGAGAGACAAGCCGCCCAATTGATCTTTCTGTGAAGATGAAAATGGTCTATATTTATGCCATCTAATATAGTAATTACTAAGTCACATGTGTCTATTGAGCACTGAATTATGGCTAGGAGCTGAATTGTCACTGAGGAACTGAATTTTTAATTTTAATGGTACAGAATTGTACTTAACTTACATTTAAATAGCCACATGTTGCTATGGCTATCATATTAGACACTATAGCCTTATAACATGGAAGAATTTTCACCAGACCACATGCTTATATGAGTTATCTAATCACTAATTATTTAAATTTTTATGACTTTTAAAATACTCCTCACATATCAATCACAAATATTATTACAAATAAATGCTATATATAACCTTAGGTATATTATATTGATTTTTGTCAGTGTAAAGTATAATAAACTTGTTTAATGTACACACAAGCTGTGGGTGTGTTTGTTAAATAAAATCTGCGAAGGACCCTGTGAATCCACATAATTAACAAGTGCACCAGAAGATTCTAATTCAGGTAGTTTATTAGAGAGGTAGAGTTCATTATCAAAGAGTTCAGAGGACTCCTTCAAAAATCTAAGATGATCATTTGTCAGGCTTAAAGTAGAAAAATAATTTTATGGAAAAATCTAAACACATTACCCATAATAGTCACTTCAAATTGACTTACGTATTTTGGGAATTTTCTTTTTTTTCTTTTTTTCTTTTTTTTAAACAGGCATAAGAATATGGGGGAATGCCAACCGAGTCCGAGGGAATTTGATTGCTCTTTCAGTTTGGCCAGGAACCTATCAGAACAGAAAAGATTTAAGTTCAACTCTCTGGCATGCAGCAATTGAGGTAGTAAGAACAAACTTAGAATTTTACTAAATTATAATTTATAATTATATCAGTTGTTAAAAGATATCTGATAAAATACACTAACTAAAAGAGTGAATACACTTTTAAAAAGATGATGTAAGTTTCAATAGCCATTGGTATTTTTTCTTTCTGTTGATGTTCATTGGTTTAAATATTAAATAGTTCTCTTACCTCCTTTCTTCTCCAACATTATTTCAAGTTCCAGCACAGAGTCTCTTTTGCTGCTACTCGACTGAGTGCTTTGGACATATTACTACTTAATTCTGGATTTAGTTTCCTCTCTAAAAATGAAAATAGACAATGGAGTCTCTAAAATACTTTTCTCATCTAAAATTGTCATGATTGTGTATGCAAGGTTATTTTACTTATCTGATATTACTAATTGGAACCTTCTTGTTCCCGTGAAGTTTTTTCATTTACTATAGGTGTTTCTTTAGATATAGAGTAAGTTTGTTTAGATATAGAGTAAGATTACAAACAAGAAAAGAGAAAGTGGAGAAGATAGCTTTCTCCTAACTTATCTTCCTGTGACATAGAATCCAAAGAAACTAAAAACAGTTCTTTTTGAAAGATTCAATGAGGACTGAATATTGCTTTCGTGCAACTATTAATTATTACTTTAATGTAAAATCTGAAAGCTGAAATTTAGTATACATTTATGAGATAAAAAATATTCTCTTTTTATCTATTTGTAAGTATCAAGTGTCAATTCCAAATCTTTAAAATTATCTATGGCTTTTGAAAGAAAAGGTATTTAATTAACATGAATTTCACATGACTATTTTTATCAGAATCTTTAAAAATAAGTGTGTTTAATACGATTGCAATTTTTTACTGTTTTGCTGACACCATAGGCAGGAACAAAATGTGTGCTCTATGCTTCCATTTTTTGCCACTTTGTCTTGGCTTATAAAAATAAAATTGTTTAGCAATTGTCTAACACTCATGCTAACCTACTTTGTAATTATAGCAAATGTTATGTAAACTAGTGGGTATCTCCACTGAATCTTATGGTCTACTCTCATTGCCTTACTTGCCTTTTTTTTTTTAAACAAATCAATCAAATTTGTAACAAAGTGTAACTAAAAAGAGCCTGTAAAAAGAGCTTGCACCTGTAATCCTAGCTACTTGGGAGGTTGAGTTAAGAGGATTGCAAAGCTTAGGAGTTTGAGACCCACCTGGGCAACATAGTGAGACCCTGTCTCAAAAAAAAAAAAAAAATATATATATATATATATATGAATTTATGTATACTTTTATATAAATATATATTTATATTAATCATATATACAAGTATAATATATAAATATATATTTATCACTTTTTCAGTGGTCACAAATTCCTGAAAAAAGTTTCAACATTCTTGTTACCTTGTTATAATACTGGAATTTGTCCTGTGCCTTGTAAAGTTTAAGCCCCATTCAGTGGATTTCATAATAGGAAATAATCTCTTTAATGTAGTTTTTTTTTTTTTTTTTTTTTTTTTTTTTTTTTTTTTTTTTTCTGAGACTGAGTTTCGCCCTTGTTACCCAGGCTGGAGTGCAATGGCGCGATCTCGGCTCACCGCAACCTCCGCCTCCTGGGTTCAGGCAATTCTCCTGCCTCAGCCTCCTGAGTAGCTGGGATTACAGGCACGCGCCACCATGCCCAGCTAATTTTTTGTATTTTTAGTAGAGACGGGGTTTCACCATGTTGACCAGGATGGTCTCGATCTCTCGACCTCGTGATCCACCCGCCTCGGCCTCCCAAAGTGCTGGGATTACAGGCTTGAGCCACCGCGCCCGGCCTAATGTAGTTTTTAAATGAAGTCCAGGGTATAGTACCTAGTGATAGTTTTACACCAAGAACCTAGTATAATTTCAGTACATCATTTGTAATTAAGTTTGAATGGGGTAAATAATAAATTAAAATTTTCCTCTTGAAAATATTGTTATAATTAAAGGTTTTCATAAGTATATTGTCATATGCTTACCCTCAATGTGTATACATGCTTACTAGCCTGATGCAAAGTATTTATTTGTTGTTGCACTAGATAAATGGAGGGACCAATACAGTTTTGCAGAATAATGTAGTTGCTGGTTTTGCAAGAGCAGGATACCGCATTGATGGTGAACCTTGCCCAAGTAAGTCTTCCAAACTAGGAATTGCTAAAACTGGGAAATAACTTGTCCAAAATTGTTAGAAATAAATAGTTATTGTTTGTTGGTTCAATATGTAATATATTTTCCTTCTGGGCACTGAAATAACAAGATAAATTATTTCAAGATAACATTGCATCTAAAAAAAATTAATAGGTTTCTAAGGAAAACTTTATTTTCCCAAGTTTATGGTCCCAAAACTCCAACAGCAACTTGAGTTCTTGGTTTTGTTGGTATTGGGATAGTAAGTGCCTCATCCCACTATCATTTTTACAAAAACAGCACTTATTATGGAGATACATGCCATATGCCATTATTTTAAGTTCTGGTTTAATACAATGAATGCCCACTATTCAATATGTTAAACCTGCATGGATCCAAAAGTCAACAAACATGAACAGACACTTCTCAAATATAGATTTCTCTATATTAGGTTAGTAAAAATTAAGAACTAACTGAACATCTACTCATTTGGCAAGGCTGTAGTGTAGGGAAAGCAAAACATTTACACATTGCTGTTTGAAGGACACAATATAATCTATACTCAGGGTAACATGACAACATCTACCAAAATCACATGTGCATTTCCTTTGACTCGGCATTTCCACTTCTATGAATCTAGCTAGCAGTTGCCTTTACAAACTTAGAAAATTATTTATAAACAAGGTTATTCATCACAGCATTGTCTTTACCAGCAGAAAACCAAAAGCCACCTTGTGTCCCACAATGGTAGAATAGTTATATAAAGCCAGACAATGGAACACTAGACCACTCTAAGAAAGAAGGCAGAAGAGCTCAATGTATTGATATGAAGAAATCTCTAGACTATTCCTAAGTGCTAACTGGAGAGTGCTAAATAGTTTATATAATGCTGTTTTAGGTGTAATGCATATAAAATATGTTTTGTGGAAGAAAAGGAAGGAATAAGAATGTATATCGTATTTGTATTTACATAAGGAAACACTGAAAGTATACAAATCATAGGAATTGGGAACAAGGGGACTCCATACTTAACAATTGCATACTTTTAAAATAATCTCTATATTAAATTATTACCAGATCGAAAAAGTAAAATATATAATAAATCTGCAGACTTTACCACTCAAGAAATTTAAAGAAAGTTAAAGAAAATGGGACTTTCTCTGAGAAATGTGTGTCCTTTCCAGAGTTGATTTTAAAACAAATATCAGTATAGTTACTTTTTAACAGCTTTATTTGGTATGATTTATATAGCATAAAATTCACCTTTTGAAAAATATACTAGTTAATAAATTTATTTATTTTTAAGATTTTTTGAATCAGCATTTTTTTCTGTCAATGCAAACATTTTTACACTTAAGCTGGTTTTATTCTTGTGCAAAATACATTTTGAAAGAATAAAAACTACTTTGTCAACATAACTGATTCCTTGAAATATGCTCTTGTTAAATATTTTAGTTCCCAACAGCTGACAGTGGCTTTTCTTTGACTTAAAATTTTTTAAATATGTAATTTCTTTACAACTTCAATAAAGTTATCCTTATGGGTTTTTCAACATCAAAATATGATCTTTGAACATGAATATTTACTAGTATTTATAATGCTATGTAATGCATTTTTTCACTATGTTGATATTCCTAAATAATTGATACTATTTATATGGAGATTTTGGAGTTACAGCAACTGAAATTTGAAATATTACAGAGGAATGAAGGGTTTACGTTTCTACAATGATACATCAATTTATTCAATCCATCTCCCAGAAGAGTCTGGGAAGCTGGAGAAGGTGATATATACTGGGTTCAGGAGTGAAACCCCACTTGTTCATGCATCTATATTGTGTAACTTTAAGGGAGAGAAATGTAAAAATCTTCTTATGCACGAAAATTATCAAAACCAGAAAGATCATAAATAAAATGTAAAACCCAAGGACTAGGAAGAAGGGAAAATCAATAGAAGATAAAAGGAAACAGATACCAGGGAACCTGAACAGGAGAGCTGGAATTAAGCACAATTTAGGAGGTGGTGCTGCTCTTTATAGGCAATACCCCAATTCATGCCTGTTTAGGAGAGGGAGTTATTAAGGTTATTGACCTGAGTCGGATATAAGTAAAACTTTCATTAAAATCCACTTTGTTCTACATATTAATAATGAGTATAGTTGCCATTTGTTGCAGGTATTTGCTAGGCACTTTATATGGGTTATTTCATTTTATTTTGAAACAATTTTGAATTAATAATGAAAACATTTTACATATGAGGAAACTAAGGCCCTAAAAGATTAAACAACTTTCCCGAGATGATGCATACACCAATTGTTAAAATATTTAAAGAGCACCTATCTCTCTACTACCTTTTAGGGTCCAAGAAATGATGGTGAATTAGCTAGGCACAATGTCTTCTCTCATTAAGCTTACATCTTAGTAGAAGAGAAGAGATGGATAATTAACAAATAATTAACAATAAAATATCAAGTGAAAGGAATTTTAACTGCAATATAAAGTGACGGAGCTATTATTTTGAATCAGGTATTCAGGGAAGGTCTTTTAAGGAAGTGACATTTAGCTTGAAAATGGAATGGCCAGAAAGACACAGCAATGGAAAGATGTTCAGGGGAAGCATTTCACAAGCAGAAGCTGTACCATTGTGTTTCAGGTTTAGGCTTATTTATATCTAAATCCCATCTCTTTCTAATATAATTAATGTTTACTTTAATCAGATAAAATAATGCAAGGGTGTTAACACTAAACTTTTGGAAATGAGTATACAGTTATTTCAAATAACAGTGAAGAGACTAATTAGACAAGACT